GTTTTACGACGACGAAAAGCAATGGGTCATCCTGATGTACCATCAGATAAAGAAGACGAAGATATTAAAAAACCGACTAAAACATCAAATGAAACTATGTAAGTGTTTGTTTAATTTATTAACTCATCAATTTTTTCTTACATATTAGTTCTTCCATTGTTACAAAAACAACAACAAAATCTTCATTAGAAGAACCATCATCCAGCACAATGTAAGCATTTAAGAATCAAAAGTAGACTTTCACTTGTTTTTAAAATATAATTTAGATCAAATCTTACTTCACAACCATTAACAAAAACTGACAAGGTAAAACACAATGTATTTCTCTATACTGAAAATGAGAGATGTGTAGAGTAGAGTAGGACAATGATTAGAAAATTTTTCTCATAAGAAGATCTTCGTAACGAGTTAATCGCTTTTAATTGAAGACTATGGAAATTATGTAGACCCTAATGAGCTAACAAGTTTGAGCTCTTAATTTATTGGAACATAGATATTGGATATTTGATAAATCAAGACTGTAGTCTGTCTTAGGAGCACGAGAAAAAAATGATTTTCAAATTTGGATTTGAAATAGATCTTGATAAGAATAAGTTTTTGTCAAACTTTCAGATCTTTTCATATAGTCTCGTATGCTGAAATAAGAAAATCAAATTCGTTGGTAAGAGACAAACTTTTCCTATAGTCGTATCTTACGATAAAAATAACAAAAAGATCTGAAACTTTCACAATACGCTACTTTCGTTAAAAATTGTCTCTATAAAGTTGCAAGTTGTAACTCAAAAATTAATGTTCCTGAGGAGGGACACTTCAGTATTAATTTAAAAAATATCCTAAACATACAGTATCTTCGTAGGAATAAGTAAAGGGTTTGAACTTTGTTCAGAGTATTCATAGCTCATTAGGGTCTACATGATAAACATAGTTTCGATTCAGAAGCGGCTGATGAGTTTAGGAATTTTCCTAGTCACGCAGAGTACAAACTACGAGAAAAGCTCATCTTTGCACATCTCTAATATAATATTATTTTGTTATTTATCAGGGTTAGAGTCTTCTAACTAGGATAAAATCTAATACTAGCTGTAACTTTTGACATAAGGTCAGCATAACGCCAAGTTCTCGAGCTTCTCATGCACACTAACTAAATGCAAGACCGGATGTATGTTACAGCATGCTATCGAACGGATGATCCGAGACAAATAAATTTTGAACACAGTATCTTATGGATACATATTCGTACTACGTAATCATTCATCTATGATTAGGGTAAAGATTAGACAACTTTTCTCAGCCAGGGTGTGATAAAAGTTTATCCTGCACATTCCTATTGGAAAGTTACATGTCTGTAACTATTTTAGTTTCTTCTTAATTAATTCTTTTAAAAAGCGTTACTTATCAAGTATTAATTTGAATGTTTTATTTGTTGAATCTATTAAAAATTATGTTTGTTTAGAGTTCTAAACCATCGATATTTGGAGAAAAAGCTCCAGCTAATGATAATGAGGATGATGATGATAATGAACTTTTTATGGATGCACCGAAATTAAAACCATTATCGAATGTCGTATCATCACCATCAAAAACTATAGTTGATACAAAACCGTCAATAGTAATTCCGCCTAAAAAAGAAAAAGATATATTTGATAATGATACTGATGAAGATGATGATCCATTTACAATCAAAAAGAAAAATACTTCATCATTACCTATAAAAAAGAATGATACAAATTCAAAAATTCAACCACAAACAATAATTAAACCTAAACCAGTTATTCAACAAGATGAAAGTGATGAAGATGAACTTTTCGGAACAAAAAAAACACAACCAAAACCAATTCCAACAATATCAAAAACTAGTACTTTTGAAAAAACTAAATCACCTAGTTCCGACGATGATCTTTTCAATACATCGACAATCACTAAATCACAACCACCACCAACAACAACAATAAAAACATCTGACGATGAAGATCCTTTATTTGCTCGTAAACCACCAGCGCAACAACCAGCTGCACCTATTATTCCTCCTCCTGTTCCTGTTTCTACTTCATCAGTTAAAAAACCAACTATCACAACAGATGAAGATAGTGATAATGAAATATTTGGTATATCTAAAACAAAACCAAAAGTACCAACAATTGAAACACAAAACATTGTTTCACCTATTAAACCTAATGTATCGACAATAGAAACTCCAAAAGTAGTTCCGTCTATCAAATCTAATGATGATAATGATCAATCATTTGGTACATCAACAAGTAAACCAACAGTACCAACAAGCCAAATACAAAAAATACGTTCACCTACTAAAACTGATGATGAAGATGATTTATTTGGTAAATCAACTATTAAACCTAAAGTATTAACAAAAGACACTCAAAAAGTTATTTCACCTATGAAATCTAGCGACAATGATAAATTATTAGGTACACCAACAACTAAACCAAAAATCACAACTACAAAAAACAATGATGATGATGATGATTTATTTTCTTCTCCAAAACCAATTCAAGTTAAACCTTCGACAACTACTGTTTCATCTCCTTTACCTTCAACAACAATTGTAAAAAGCGAAACTTATGAAGATCCTTTATCAGGAATTCGAAAACCTATTGAAACTCCATCACAACCACCAATAAAAACGCCTACTGTTCAAACAGTGAAGAAAAATGTTTCAGACAGTGATGAAGATGAATTATTTCCCAAACGACAAATCAATACAGTAGCATTAAAAGAAGGTGAAAAACCAAATGTTAAAGCTCTTTCAGTAAGATAAACAAATTTACAAAAAAACAAAAAAAAAACTTATTCACTATTGTCATTTCTCTAGTCGCTTTTAAATATTAATCCAAATGCTCATCGACCAGGTGCACGTCCAAAAACACATTCAATCACTGAAGAACAGTCGAAACCTTCTATTGTTAATGATGATCAATCGATTCAAAATATTGAACCTTCACAAACTGTTGTGAAAAAATTGCCAAAACTTGATTCGGATAGTGATGATGAATTATTTAATAATAAGAAAAAAGAAAAATCAGCTATTGTGAATACAGAAGAAAAAGATAAAACTAATATTGAAGATGAAAAAGTTAATGTTAAAGCACTTTCGGTAAGAAAGAAAAAAAAGAAACTTTGATTTTTTTGTTTGTACTAAATAGTCTATTAAATTAATATTTTAGTCACGTATCAAAATAAATCCAATGATGCATATGCCAGGTACTCATCCGAAACCGATTTCTAATGAAGAAAATGAATCAAATAATATGACACACACAACTTCAACTGAAATATCAAAAGAAGAACCAATAGTTGATAAAACTATGTTAAATATCCTTAAAGTATAGACTACGATTTTAATTTTTTCAATGATTTTTACCTACAGAAAGGAATATATATATATATAGACTTCTAGAGAAAGATTTTCTATATCTAATAATCTATACTAGGCAATTTCTATATAGCACATGGACATGACTTATTTTCTATTAAAAACTCATTTTTTTTGTCATAGGGTGCTAACTGAGTAGATGTATCTGACAGAAAAAAAATATATTCTTTGAAATTTTCATTGCGTTTGTAGTTGTGCTAAAGTGTACGCGTCAATGACACTAAACACTTCTTTTTAGCAAAGATTTGATTGAGAAAACATGCATACTTTTTTCTAACAAGGAAACTGTTAGAACAAAATCATTTCATATAAATTGGCCAAAGTATATTCGACATTATTGATATCAAAAAAAAATATTACTTCCACTTTTCCATCAAATCTCCACTGTGTAGTGCATGCATTATCAACAAGAGAAAAATGAAGACGACTCCAGTGCACTCCAAAGAAATTATGTTATGAAACTTTTTTAGGTTCCCTGTTAGAAACTATTTTTTAGAGCGTACTTCGAAGTACTGAAATCGCTCTTTTCCCTCTTTGATTATCAGGTTCTATTTAGTACTATTAACCTGCCGATAGGTAGTCGTGCTATCTATCTACATATATCAACAGTACGCAATAGAATTTGATCATGCATATACTGTTAGACAGAAAAGTCTTTCTCTACAAACTTAAATATATTCAGTTGTATAATTAAAACGTTATTGTCGTCTTTCTCTTTTCTATTATAAAAAGAACAATATTGTTTTTTTGTTTAAGGATCGAGCTAAACTGTCCTCTAAAAATCGAACACCACCAACAAGAAAACCTCGTTCAACTGGAGCTGCAACAACTGCTACAACAAATGATGATCTCTTTGCTTTGCCTAGTTCGACTACAACTGCTACATCATCTTCTACGACTACTAGTCCAACAATTTCTCCTCAATCTACTGTTCCTCCACCAGCACCTATAACAGGTTTGCCAGATAATACTGCTGCTATTGCTGCTATATCTGATAAACAAACTAATTCAAAAGAAAAGAAAAAATTTTCGCTCTTTGATTCTGATGATTCTGATATTGATGAATTGTTATTCGGTTTTAGTAAAAGTATGCTAATATATTTTGAATTATTTCTTTATTTCTTTATTTTTCTGTAGAAAATAAATCTTCTATAACATCAAAACCAACCACAACCGTAACTTGATTTTTAGTGTTTAATTATTCAAATAGAAACTCATTCTTAATGTTTTTTTAGCAATCAACAATACCGAAAACAACTACAAAATCAGCTATATTACCATTAGATGATGATGATGATGATGATTTTCTATCAAAACGACCAATAAAAAAAAGTACAAAACCAATGGATAATGATGATATATTTGCTGATGTTACGATTAAATCCCAACAAACCAATAAAGCTAAAAAAGATTGGTCTATTATGAACAAAACAGTAACAGATGATACAGGTACTTTATTTTATTTTGTTTGTTTGAAATAAGTTTTTTCTTATATTTTGTTTAGATGATATTTTTAATAATGCATCAACAAAGTCTTCCACTACTCAAAAATCAAAGTCAACAAATATTAAAAATAAATCAAACAAGGATTTAGATGATATCTTTGATGATCCACTCAATATTTCGTCCAAACGATAAATGAAAACAACAGAAAAAAAAATAAAAGCCTAATTTTGCATTTCGATTCGTTCCTTCTTTTTTTTTTATTCTTCGCATTTGTGCAATATATAAATAAATTCAGTTTATTTTTCATTTCGTAATCCAATATAAATTTTCATATATCAATACAAAAGAATAACTAAAGTATATTCTTCTTATTTGTCTTATTCGTCATTGATGCAAGTAGTAGTCTTTAATAATATATCGATAAAGGATATGGGTGTGGATGAAATTGGTTATACTTCTCACTCACACCCTCTCAACAGGCTTAACATTCTTCTAAGGTTTTACTCGTCATATACTTCGGAAAAGCGATCTATGTATACTTTTTGAAAAATATTGTTCGATATGGTAGCAGAATCTGGATACGAATTTGCATTCATCCTCTCTCATTGGATTGAAATAATCGATTTTCTCGACAATCAAACAATAGTTTTCAAAAAGAATGCATCAATTGTTTTCTTGTTAATCAATCGAATAAAGCAATTTAAAAAATTATTGAGCCTGAAAAGATTTTATATCTTTGGTGGATTTCACATTTTTGTAGACTATTATGCAATTCTCTTTGTACTTAAACTAATCATGCATATCGTACGGTAGTGTTCGGCATAGATCAAAATTCTGATAATTCGACCCGATGAACTAGTTTAATTTCCTTGAGGTACACTAACTAATCTATACACAGTATTACTTTCAATTTCGAATGAACCACTTTTTTAATCAATTCTAATATTGTTTTTCATATAACTTATTTTTTCTAATAGACTTCAGAAAATTTTATACTGAAACAATGGAAACGGTTCAAAAGTTGTCTTTTTCTGTCGCCATGATATTTTCAAGGACAGTGTTTCATATTCAATTGTCCAAAAAAAAATTATTTGTTGTTTTAGAAAATATCGATTTATCAATCAGTCGACATGCGAAGTTTTGCACTACATTTTGTAGTCGAGTGAAATTCGAATGGTATCTAGTTATAATGAAACCTTGTTTTTATGAAATATAGCAGCACTTCCACAAAGAGATATCCATTCTTAGAGAGTTTTGTAAGCTATCAAAATTGTCACTATTTTCCTCCACATGAAAAGGATAATTGAAAAAAAAAAGGGAGCTTTGCCATATTCTAAAAATGTTAGGTGATCTGAATATACTTGGCGCAAATATGAACTGGAGAAGCCTCATAATACTTTAAAATCGAATATAATTATTTTCCTTCTCTTTTGGCTGAGCTCAATTAGAGAAGCTTTTTTATTCATTCATCGATTCATAATCCTTTCTTAACAATAGTATGGTTGAAAGAGGATATACCTTCCTATTTTTAAAATTTTTTGACGTCAACTTTCTTTAACTTTGAAGAATACTTTTGATGAGTTTTCATCAAGTTCAAAGAAATTAGATCTATATTTTGCATCGGTTTGTAAAGATTTAGACCATATCATTATCTCATTCTGAGTAGAGTATCAGAACTCTATTTTGAGTTTGTAGACTACTTTTTTTCTTTAATTCTAGTTGAGACACATCATCCGTCGAAAAACGACACATCATGTGTCTCAGCTAGACATGCCAACTGTCAATGAATAGTCAATTTTAAACGCTCAAGCAAAATAAATGCAGAATAGACACTTAAAACGTCTTGTAAGATGCATGGTATTTTTTTTAGAGTGTTGTACGACACGTTTCTCTCATTTTCTGGAAATACTCTACCTATGAATGCATACTTAATTTATCTTTGGAAAATTGTCATTTGAAACTTAAACCATTAAGCATATATATATATAGTGCTGTTTTAATAGGAATATCATGTGGCGCCATCTTTTGAACAAAATAAAAATAAAATATTAAAAACGACATAAAACCTAGAACAAGATTCTCATAAGATTTAATATGTATGTGATAAATTATTTATTTTTAGTTCATTTTTTTCTTTATGTTGAATTAATGTACCAATCATATACTAGAATATATTCTTTCCTTTTTTTTATTGCATTGGTTTTTGTTTATTTGTAAATCGGACTTGACAATTTACTAAAACAATATGGCAACTCTTCTTAAGTAAAAATGAAATTTTAATCAAACGAAAAGAAAAACAAAAGCATTTAATTCTAATTTTATTCTTTAGATGGGCAACAAAATTAACTATTGTTGGTGGTGCTACTGTACTTGTTGTTAATCATGAAGTATTTGGTGCAAATAAATATACAAAACAAATCATCAATGAAGTTCGTACATCATTACCCGATACTGCTGAAGCATTCGATCAAATGCCAACAAAACAAGAGCTTAATGATGCTATTGTAAATAGTTGGAATTCGGGTATGAGCTATTATCTGACTTGTATTCTTTCTTATTTTTTCAATCCATAATTGAATTCTTTTACAGGCGTTCAAACAACATTTAAATGGCTTGCTGACGCTCCAACACATACATGCCAATTATTTTCTTCTCTCTCTAAGAAAATTAAAGGCTAAGAATATAAAAAAAAAAAAAGGATCGATTGTAGTCAATAATAGCTAGTGTGTGTGTGTTGTTTTTATGGTCTCCAATATATTAGAAAAAAAACTCTTTTCCTTGCATTTATTTATTTTTCTTTTGTGAATGAGAATACTCCAGCGCGTCTGCATTTGTTGATTAGATGTATACACGGGGCGCAAAATGTTGTTATTGTATACTATATAGTCGGGGCTATGGGGTCGTACGTCGAACACAACAGAACAACAACAACATCGATACTATGTTATTCGTTGTGGTAGCCTGTTTCTTTTTTCTTCTTCGTCTTATTTTCTTTTCCTCTCACTTCATCGTGCTATCAAAGCAACAACATCAGCTTCATGGCAACGTTCGAGCAAGAAGAAAGAGAGAGAGAGAGAGCATGCAAGTCAAGATAAACAATATTTGTATGCGCGTACGCGAATCTGATTCTTTGTTCTCGTTTGAAAATTTGATGCATCTGTTGTTTTTTTTTTCTTTCCATTTTATATATATGTTTGCTTCGCCAGGCAACATACACATAAATAACAGGCATTGACCTCTGTTTCTCCCGTTTTGCTTTTTTTTAAGATGAGAAAGAAAGAAAAAAAAAAGAAAGAGGTAAAAAAACCTAAAGAACGGACAAACAAGCAGTCATCATCGATCTAACAGAGAAAGATTAGTCGGAAAAAACAGCCATCTGTCTGTCTCTTCATTGAACGCTCATTGAGTTTCTTTATGTGCATGTATGTCTGTGTGACTCGAAAGAGGAAGGAAAAGAAAAATAATAATAGGCTTCACAATACGAAGAAGAAGAAAAAAAAAATGTCTCTCGCTCAAACCAAAAGCGTGGTTGAACTCGTCACCGATATTGTTTTTATTTTTTTTTTTCTAGATTAGCATTGGATGAATTTTTTTTTCTTCTTTTTCTTCACAATATAGAATGAGAGTTACAACAAATCGAACATCAAAACTTCAAACAGCTACACGTACAAAAGCATCAACAACAACCATATTAAATGAACAAACAGGACATTTACAAAATGGTACAACTATAGTTTCACCAACATCATCAAATAATGTACGATTTGAATTTTTCTATGTCGAATTGATTGATAAGATGTTCGTAGTTATTCTTATTGTTCTCTTTTTTGTTTTAGGGTGCACTTCGTTTAATTGATTCAGGTGATTATTTATCAACCGCCGTTTCACCACAACAACATCAACCTGTAACCACATCAACAATGCTTCAGTATTTACAACCATCTTCAAATGCAATACAAAATATGCTCATTCAACAGATATTAACAAGTCCCGAACAGGTATATTGATCATATGATGCAACAGGTCAATATATGTATGATATACATTGACCATCTTTCTCTCTCTCTCTCTTTTTTTTATTATTATTATTATCAGGTAGGCAAATGTCTATGAAGCCTACTATATGTTTTTTTCGTACACATACAATGAACATTAAATTTTGATTTCTCATTTCTCTCTCTCTCTCCCTTTTTGTGTGTCTAATTCTTTGACGGGTCGTTCGACGAACGACAAACATCGAGCGGGACGCTGGATTGTAGTGTTCGCTTGTGAGGACGGCCAAAAAACAACACATCACACACACACATACGTATACAGAATAAGAACGACAGAGAAGAGAAGGAAAGAAAATTAATAACAGAGTAAAAAAAAAAAAGCAAGCGAAAGAAGAAGAAGAAAAAAGAAACATAACCAACGAACAAAAAATAACATCAACAACAACAGCACCATCTTGTATGTGTGTGCATTTATGCTATTTCATGCATGCTATGGCATCTGTGACAATTATAATAAAAAGCTAGTATTAAAAGAAAAGTGCGATAACATATATTTCGATACAATATATATATATAAGATATAATAATTCTATTGTCTTTTTATTTTTATTTAGCAACGTCTTCTTGTAGAAAAAATTAATCAACAATTAAGTGAACAAATTCAACTTAATCTTGTTCAACCAACAACTACATCCCAAACAACAAATTCAGACATTATTAAACAAATTCAAGTAAAATTTAATGAATCATACATTTATTCTTTTTGTTTTTTGCTTTGCCTTCATAGAATCAACTTGCGAATCAACAATTACTTCTTCAACAAGTTTCATCAAAACAACAACAACAACAACAACAAATTCCAAGTCTATTTAGCATTACAAATTCCAATAATACTGTTCAGCCAACAACAGCTACTCTTCAATATTTAACAACAACACCTAACAATTCGTCTACTAGTGGTAAGAAAAATTTTTCTTTTTTCTCATTTTCATTTCATTCCTATTAAAACTCATTCTCTGCATAAACAAACTTCATCTATATATATATATATATATCAGTCTATACAGACTCTCCATCGGTGATTTCAATTGCTACACGTCCTTATCATCAACAACAACCAACATGTATTAATATCACCGATTTATTGACAACAGGTCGAACGACGAGCACTGGTTCGTCACACATAAAAAAAAAATCCGCATAAAAAAAAGCGTCTAATTGAATGATTCCTCCTTTAATTTTCTGCGTGTTTGCGTCTATTTTTTTATTCTATGCTTTTATCTGCACGTTTGTGTGCTTAATTTATTTTCTAACAAATTATATACAACAGCAACTAGAAAAAAAAACTTTTGTCGTTTTTTTTTTTTATAGGTGTAAATATTATCGGAAATAATAATAATAGTACTGACACACGTATAACTATGCCAACAACAACAACAACTATAAATCGTTCATCAACACTTACAAATCAACAACAACAACAAGATTCATTAAATCCTTTATATCAACGAAATTATTGTCGTTGGCCAAGTTGTGATACATTATGTACATCATTAATTGATTTTAATCGACATCTTAATGATGAACATTCACTTGATGATCGTTCTGTTGCACAAGCACGTGTACAACAGCATGTTGTACAACAACTTGAATCATTATTAACGCGTGAACGTGAAATTCTACAAGCTATGATGAAACATTTACATGGTGGTTCAATAATAAATACAAATGGTGCAACATCATCAAATTCAAATACAACAACAACAACACATATTATAAGTCAACCAACAACACGTACATTAACAACATCAACAGCACCATATCATCATACATTAACAACAAATCCACGTACAACACAATTAACATCATTATCATCACCAGCATCATCATCATCATCAATAAATAATACATCATCATCAACAACAGCAGCAGCACTTCATCATTTACCAATAGTTAAATTAGAAAATGCATTTTTAACATCAACTGGTGTTGTTACAGCAACAAATTCAATTGATTCATATAATCGTACAACACCACATGATCTTTCATCAGCCGCTAGTGCAACAACATCAACTATATTACGTGCTAGTGCATCTAGTTCACCACCACCTGTTCATACAGTTGAAGAAGAAGTTGGTGATGATACACAAGATGATGATGAGGATGATAATATGGATGATATGAATGGTGATATATCAGCACAAACAGGTCATAATGGTAATATTTTACCTATAATTAGTATGGAAAAACATCGTCTTAATCGAAAATCAAAATCAATGTTAGCATTAGGCGGTAAAAAAGCAGGAAAAGGCAAAGGTTTTTTTTTTTATTTTCCAAATTTATTAACATTAAACTTTGAAATAAATATATTTTTATTGTATTTTTAGAATTAAAAAATCGTGAATATTATATGACACATGATGTACGTCCACCATTTACTTATGCAACATTAATTCGTCAAGTATATAGAATTTAAAAAGTAATAGATAATGTTTTTATTTAAATTATTTATATTTTAGGCTATTATTGAATCTCCAGATAATCAATTGACATTAAATGAAGTATATAAATGGTTTGAAGGTCAATTTTTGTATTTTCGAAAGAATGCACAAACTTGGAAGGTTTATATCGAATTTTTTGTTGTTCAATTTTTTTAAATAGAAAATTTGAAATTTTATTTTGTATTTATTTATAGAATGCTGTACGACATAATCTTTCATTACATAAATGTTTTATGCGTGTAGAAAATATTAAAGGTGCCGTATGGACTGTAGATGAAAATGAATTTTGTAAAAGACGTTTAACACGTAGTGCTGAAAAAGGAAATAATCATAATGAATCATCATCATATGGGTATAAATAAAATAATTCTATTATTCTTTATATGAGATTATATTTTCTTTTTTTTTAAAGACATAATACATCTACTCGTTTATCAACTGGTGATGATCAAGCACTTTATTCTTATCCATTTGGTATAGACGATGATTATAAAGATTTTAAGGTAAAATTTTTTTATATTGATTAATTTAGCTATATATATATATATATATATTTTAAAATTTAATTTAGGGTTTATTAAATCATCATGAATTAGCATTAGGTGGTAATCATTCCCATGGTGGAAATGGTGATGAAGTTGATGATGATGAAGATGATGGAGACAATTCTGCTAGTGTAAATGGAAATGGCGGTGATCATCATGATCAATCTACTGATATGAATCATAGTCAATATGATCAAACTGATGATGATGATGGACAAAATGATATGAGGTATTTAGATTTTATTTATTTTTTCACAGAAATGTCTCGAATATATTTAGAAATTTATCATTAAAAGAGTTAAAGAGAAATCAAAGAAAGGGTTAGTCCTCTATTTTTTTGTTTTTTGCTCGCGAAGGGAAAGGAAAAAATTAATCTTTATGCATATATATGGATTTTTCTTTAATGAATATTTGAATAATTTTGTTTTTATTTTTTTCTAGTTTAGCACATGGTGACGATGAACAAGTTGATGAATAAAAAGTTCTCGTTGTGCAATATATGAGATATATATATATATATATAAATACGTGTTGTTTTCTTTTTCTTTTTCATTTCCGACAGACAATGTCAGATAGTCCATTTCTTCTCTTTATTCGACACGCGCACATGCATAACAGTAGCACCATTTTTTTTTCACTTGCTTTTCGTGTTGCCTTAGTTCCTATATACAATGTATATAGTTTGTTTCTTTCTTTTTTTTCTTTTGTGGTTAGTTAAAAAAGTTGACTTTTAAAAAAAGTTCGTATTATTATAAAAGAAACGAAAAAAAAATGTTTTTTTTTTTCTTTTTTGCCTCCTGTATTCATATTCTAATGGGCATATTGCTCTGTTATTTGTTTGTTTTTCTTTTTCCAAAATTTTGTGCCTATCGATGCTTCATAATGTTTAACCTCTTTCTCCCAGTCTACATCGTTGTCTGTAGTGTGTGAATGTATTTATTGTTGTCTTTATTTCGCTATCGTGTTTTGTCATATTGTTTGTATATAGATTTTTTTTTGTGTTTGTTGCTAACTATTTTCTTTTTTTTCTTCCGTCTTTATGATTCGCATCTTCTTGCTTTTTCTTTGCCTTCATCAGTTTTACTCATATTGTGTTGTGTTTGTTTTCTTTTTCTTTTTTTCTTGTTCTATGATGTATAAAAACAAGATGGGTAAAAATAGTGATGATTACGTATTGAGAAAAAAAAAAACAAAGACTTATTTGGATGTATCGTCTAATAGAATATAGAATTGTTAATAATTATTATATGAAAAATTGAGCGAAAACAAAAAAAAATGAAATTTATTTGAACGATAAGTAATATTTGTTGTGTAAGTTTATAGATACATTAATAAAAATAAAGAATACAGAAATCAAATAGATTCGAATATATTTCATATATATAGTTGTATTGAAGGATAGTAACATAATGTAAGACACTATAAAAAGATGTAACATTTCATTGGTATAGGATAAAAGTTCTTTCGTTTATCTTTCATTCAAGCAATTGGTCTATCTGAGTCAGTGTTTCTAATGACAGATGTACCAAGCAGATACAGAACATGGTACTTTCGATATACATGTTGTTTGACATTTTACATAGAATAGCAAAATAGAAGCAGTCACTTTGTCGAATAAAAGAAGACTTTGTTTCTAAGATAATTATATGTTGTTTTTTTTTTGGTAATCGAAAAATAGGAAATTATATTTTATTTTTCACAAAACTTGACTTTCTTCTTTTGGATCGTCCAACCTTTCTTTGATAATATCAAGGAAAAAAAAGGACAAAATTATTTTTTTCGCTTATAATCTTTTCTGATCTTTGATAAATATTTTTGACAAATGAAAAAAAGATGATTTTTTGTGTCTCGTTTTGTCTTTAAATATATTCTTTATGCAACTTCACCATTGTATATTTTAGTAGTATGAAAATTTTTTTTTAAATAGTGATAGGTAGCTGGTACTGTTGACTTATGATGTATAATCGTTATCGGAACGATTTCATTTATAATGACAAGATGTCGAAAAGATTTTGAATCATGAGAAATCTATGATTTTTTTGCATTATTATTAAGGTATCTGTTATAAAAAGTGAAAAGAATTAAGCGGATTACATTAGTAGTAATTGTCGTTTGGCAGACACGTTTTCTCAAAGTATATGTCAAATATGAGTTGTCAATCAAAATATAAGAAAATTACATTGAGAAAGGATTTGAATTAAATTTTTGCATGTTATATTTTTATGTATATGCTTAATGCTAACTTCTAATCTATTGATGAATATTGATTAAATTATTTTTAACTTGAATTTTATTGGAACTATTCAAAATGAAAACATTGAAAATCTTTTTTTTTAAATTTTCAAGGATATGAGAAAGATATATAATCGTTCATTCCTAGCAGAGCTGTCAGCCTGTTAGATTTCTGCCAAGTCAGGTCACAATTGTCAGCATTCGTCTTATGTTTTGAAAATCAGATGGTGATGCATCGTCTTATTAATCAAGAGTACTTGGACAAGTTCATTCGATTGCAGCAACAAATGCGAGAACCGAATATCATTTTAGTGTTGTAGGACTTGCATTAACTGACAGAAGAATTTGTTCAAAACCAAAACAATTGGATATTAGATTTTGTGTTCGTACAGCTGTAATCATTGATTGCCAATAGTAAATGTCCTTGCCTGGTATTATAAGTATTATCTATTCTCTGTATTTTCTTTTACTTCTTCGTTCTGTACCTGATTACGTGTTGTTATTGCTTTCACGATAAGATTTTTTGATTATGCAAAACAGTACTGATATGATATAAAAAAAGTTGCATTAGTTTAAATGATGTTTGTCTCTTTGTTTGAATTTGCTATTCTGTGCAAGAATTTGTTATTACCTTATCTTTATGGAAATGAATTAAATGAAAAATTGAAAGTTGAATGACACAATTGTTTAGATAAACACAACAAAAATGTTGAAAAGAGCTGAAATACTCTATAATGATTCTTCTCATATATGATGAATAAGATCCATTAGAGATTGTATTGTGCAAGAGCTATCAGATATTTTTGAGATTGCTTAATTTACTGTAAACTTCAATATTTATTTGAAGACTAAATGAGAACTTATTTTTCTATGAACTATGACTTTCATGATATCAGTGTAAATGTATTCTAAAAACATTATTTCCTTTATGAATGTGAAACAAGTAATCTATTAATATATCATTGACGAATTGACTATTAACTACATATTTAGATAAATATTCATATCTATGGGCATTCCCTAGTCAGCAGGATCATCTAACAATTATGACTTGCCATCATAAGTACTATAATTACTATTGGGGGTTCTCGAACAATTTTCTACACATTTATACACTGGATGTACTCTCCTAAATGCTTATGAGTTAGATTTTTCTTATAGAATTTCTCATAAGCAAAACTATGAGTACTCAGTGTTGTACTTATCCTAGTTGTGTTTTACAGAAACTGCAGCAGAGTACTTACATTGAAATATATCGCACTTAAATAAAAATCATATTATTGAGTAAAAAATAGAGCAAAGTGATTGTTTTTAATGATTTATTCATTTTTCTCCTATTATTTTTTGGAAAAACATTTATACTTGTTTCATGATTAGTAACTTTAAAAAAATTATTTGACAGTTGAAATTGAGTATTTCTTGGAATGTAAGGATCAAAGCTCATTCTAATTTCATTTTCCATATTTAGATAAAAATATTCTTGTACATAAAACGATAGTTTTTCAGATTGTTCGTGACAAATAAGGAAATAAAAGATGATTGATACATTTTTCTCAAATTTGATCGAGACTTTTAATCAGAGAATTACATGGTCATTGGTCGAAAAATATCTGTTTTGTTTTTTACTTTTTTCAAATATAGATAAAACTAATTTGCATCTTGAAAACATATCTCTAGTTGGATTTAATTAGAATTTTGAAAACAACATATTGAATTTTGTGTAGATCTTATGGACATGTTCTTTTTGAAAAAAAAAGCGAATATCTAACATTTGTGTCATCAATACTAATAGAATGCCACAAAAAATAGTACTGCTCAATTGGAATATCATTCATTTAGATTTACTTCAAACATTTCTTCCTGATAATAAGAGATTTAAAATTTTTTGTTGAATCTACTATTATGCAGACTTCGATGTTCTTTAGCAATTTTCTTCACACTTGGACTTGCCAACACTATTCATTTTGTATCAACAGATACAGAATTTCAAAATTCGTGTATGGATAGAGGTGGATGAGAGTAATGGTCAGGACAAGCGTTTTCTGTTGAGCCTTATCCACACATTCACCTTTAATCTTTCGTTACTTCCTTTCCTTTAACATATTGTACATTATCAACATACTTATTAAAGGACAAGTGGCGGTAAGGCCATTTTCTCGCCCAAAACTTTTCTCAAAAAGAATTATATATTCGGAATCAGCATTAAATTCTGAGTAAAATGAGGTGCTTTTTGCTGTCGAAAAACGACTTTCATTTTTCACGGTTCATTGGGCACCTGCAGGGGACCTCAGGACCATCGAAATTTTTTTTTTCAGAATTTTGGTGAATTTAACATCATCTGATGCGAAATTTAATGCTGATTTCGAATTTCAAATTGATATTTTAAAAAAATAGAGTTTTCGTAGAAAAAAATTTGATTTACTGTGGGATGCTAGGGAGGGCCTACTTCCAGTTACCGTGCACAAGTGACCTATTGACACCATTCGAAGGTCTGAAATACATTTAGTAATGTGTGAGATTGCTTTCCCAATCAGAAACAAAAACAAAAAGGTGTCTGAAGTCGAGTTTTGGTGAGTTTTAGATCCAAATNTTTTCATTTACATCATCATCTGCTACATCAGAACCAGAATCTAAACATGTACCATCAGATGCAGAACTTTGAATACGATCATTAGTGTTACAGCATTGAACAACATGATTATCAAGTAATATAATATCATTAGCGTTATCATCAATTTCCGATTCATCATTGGAGCTGAATGTTAAATATTTTGTCATATCAATAATTTTGTTCTCTTCTTCATCCACATTTGACACGACTTCGATAGAATCATCATCTTCTGATTCACTTGATGAATTATCGAAACCATTATTACCAATTAAAGGTAATAGATGTACTTCAGCGTCGTTCATCGACATGTTATTTGTTACTTTTTATAATTAAAAACATACAATTTATACTTTTTCTTCCTCTTTCAGTCAAAAAGACCAACGAAAGTAATGCGTATTGTTCTATTTCTTCGTTCGACATTTTACCTTGCCTAGAATATCCTCCTCAGACAACGCAAGTAGAAAATTCTGATATACGAAATTTTGTTAAATATACTCGGATAACAGAAGAAAATTTATTCTTAAAAAAGAAGACCCGAGTCTTGTAATACGGCTTTCAAACTTTTTGCTAAAGGGGGTCTTCTAATATGGGGAGGGGTTTAAGTGATTATTAGTACGAGGTCTTTCACCAATCGTATCGAAATGATTCCACATATGTATAGGAAATCGACCATCATCAATATAGTTATTTATTATATAATCAGTTAATTTGTCAAACTTAGAGTTAACATCACATAATTCATCAATAATTTTTTCCATAGAATTATTTATTTCATTTGGTGGTATTAATGGTGCACTAATAATATTGGCTATTTGAGGACGAATATTTTCTTGTTTCGATAATTTAGCTAAACCATATTTTTTAATTTTTTTCCATACATTTTTAGCATAATGAAAATGACATCCTTTAACTGATGCTTGTGGAAATTCGTCATTGATTGCATTAATTGTACCTTGTTCGAAATATATTAAGGTTGACGATGAATTTAATGAAATATTTTTTGTATTTGCATAAATAACCAATGATGTGAATAAACGATGGTAACCTTCTTGTGATTTATCTTCACAGCACGAAAATATGACTGATTTCATACTAAATTCATCCCAAACATGAATATAATATGCCTGTGTGAATAATGCTGGTGCGGTGCGAAATATCCCATCTGCATTCCAATGTGAGTTTTCACTTAATATTTTTAAACATTGTTCTGATGCAAAAGCAATAACTTTAGATGGTGTTGGTGAATTACAACATAAAAAATCTTGTTTTGTGTTGTTATACTACATATCATTAGGAATTATAATAGATGATAATAATGTTGGTGCTGGAGGTAACATAGTTTTACGAACATTATATAACGTTGATTTCCAAGTTTCGAATATTGGAATTGAACCAGCTGAACCGTTCTCACGACGCTAAATCCAAGATACGTAATAACATATTTGAAATCAAAATAAAAAAAATTACTCACAAATTTCTTCACTTCTTCTTCGTATATCTTTCCCGCACAGGTTGATCAAAATCTGTTAATACTCTATGCTTTAATCCGCATAATACAGCTTGAACATTTTCTGGTAATTTAGGACCATGATTATGATCTGAACCATTTGATTTGATAATTGTATTGTCTTTTAAAGTTATAGTACGAGAACAAGATTTGAATGTACATATATACACAATTGAACCGTTTTGTTTTCACATCTTAACTCATATAAATGGTTATTATATAAGAGAGCCTTTTCATCTCTTTCAGTAGTTGACCAAGTAAAATTTGTTTTCATACTTTCAATTATGATACCATTCTTATTCTCAAACTTCTATATTTATATTATTAATAAAATTGAGCTCATTATCAGCTATTGCAATAGCTAATTAATCAAAGTGTTCGCAATTTGATAGCTACGGAGATTTGTTTGTGAATGTATATCTACTTATTCTCTTCGTTGAACACTCACATTTATTTTTTCTCTCACTCTTCCATGTATCTTAACAAACCAATTATGCAGATTGATTACGTTATTTTTGATAGTTTTGTTTATTCTGTTCTATATATACGAAGCCTTAGATATTTCTTATTCTGATACGGTTGAATAAAGCATGGATTACTCTATCGACCTATATAATTTTTATTTTATTTTATTTGCAACTTCTCGAAAGATTTGATAAATTCCCAGAAGCAGTGAATCAAAACTTTTGCAAGCTCGTATTTCAGTTCAACTGAATTTATGAATGATGAAAATTGCTTTAGATGGAAGAGGCTCATCTTACTGAAGCGTGCAGAAAATATTAGACAACACTGATTCAAAGTTGAGAAAAACATTAGTTTTTACAGAAACAAACACTCTACTCAGCTATATATCAAAGAAAAAAGTTTAAATATTTAAACGATCAAATTTTCTTCGAAGAAAAGCCGAAAATCATGTATGAAAAAAGTTTCACGAAAAACATTTCTCAGAAGATCACCAAGATTTCTCGTAAAGATAAAGAATAAGTCCAATGGAAAATATATGGCCAGGTAGAGAAAAGAACGGCCTATTATTCTATATAAAACTAAAAAATTTCGGCATCGTCGTGGATAGTAGAAAAGATTATCTGAGAAGTGACCTGAAAGTTGTTGAATGAAAACTATCTTTTGAGTACTTTTGGAAATGTATTCAATTTTTGGATAAAATTGAGAGTAAACAAAATGAAAACTATATAGTTCGATAGAATAGTTCATGTTTTATCCAACCATATTACAAAAAGAAATATCTGAAGTTTTGTATAAATAGGACTAAATGAACAAAACTATCAAGAATAACGTAATCAACTTGTATATTCAAATTTTCAAATGCATCAATGAAAAGTCAACATTATCATCAGAATGACTTGATCCAAAACTTAAAATTCAAAAACTTTTTTTTTCAAAATTAGACAACAATAAGAATTTTTTCGAGCGAAATCAGAGATAATTCAAAAAAAAGATTTTTTTTTGCAAATTATTGGCATATTATGCTAATATGCTGGTAGCAAATGCTTTATTGGTATTTTTTTACGGACCTATACTTTATTTTCATAGACGTTTTACTGTAAAGAAACACAATGCAATAAATATATTGTTTAGCTAATATGCAAGCATAACAGATACTTAATGTCGAACTCTTTCACTAGACTAGAATTTCATTCACAAAAAATATGCAAAAATCACATTAATATGTCTTGTATGTTAATAAATTCTACAAAAGAAAAATAAGTTATATAATTTCGATTTGATATTATTGTTAATATAGTCTGTTTTTCTTTAACAAGTGTACACGAGTTAAAATATGTGTATAAAATTGTTTGCTAGAATATTTGCTACTTATTTTTATCTTCTGTTGAGGACCATTATAGCACTGAGTTATAATCATATTTTACGTTACAAAGAAAACTGTGATCTAAAAGAGTGCAGAACTAAGAAGAAAATCAGAAACTGCCTCTTTCTTTCAGAATATCTGGTCACCCTGATTATCATTAATTAAAAAAGCTTATTTTTATTTTATTTTTTTATTTAAAATATGCTGAAGTGAATAATAGTTGTTCTAACAAAACATACAAAAGTGAAATAAAATAATGAAAAAAAGAAACATATATTTTTATTATCTAGAAAATCACACTTGGGTTCCTGCTGTAATTATTAACACAAAATACCATCAAAGATTCACCTCAAGAATCATGAATAGAAGAGTTTTTATTGTTGTTCATCACATTAATAATTTCGTTCTTTTCAAATATTTATACAACAATCATAATTGACTACAAGAGAAGATCATAACTAAATCGAAAAATGTTGAACAAAAGATAGATACATTATAAGAGTTATATATTTACAATTTATATCATATTAATTCATCCAAACAAATGTATGAATGATATTGCCTTATTAGAAAAGGGTAAATAAACATCGTCGCTATCAGGGCTCCGTGTGGGATGAGATGGGACAAAAAAAGTCGTCCCATGGGACAGACTGTTCCGATCTGTCCCAAATGGATGGAACTATCTTTAAAAAATGTCCCATGGGATGAGATAGAATATAAACTTTTGAGGATCATGCTATGGGATCGGACGAAAATGTCCCATCCCATCCCGTCCGTCCCATGGGACACGATATTCGTTAAATTGTTTTCAAAAAAGTAAAATTTAACAATACATTTATCAGTTTGATAAAAGATACAAAATATTAGGCTATTTCATCTTGCATTTCATAACTTTATTACAATCAAGTTCACTATTTTTCATATTTACAATGAAAAACATGGTACACTCTTTATAAATACAAAATACTGTATAAAAAAATAAAGTTGCAAACGAAATATTACTTCGACTACATACTGACTGATAAAAAAAGCATAAGCAAAAAAACGAAGTTCTTATCACAAATTATTAAATCAATTTGATATTTTTCATGGATCGAATAAAAATGATATTGTTGAGTTGTTCAGGATCTAATGCCGTTCGTCGCTCGTTAATGATAAAACCTGCACCACTGAATTGACGTTCAATAGCTACTGAGGATGCCGGTATACAATGAATCGGGCGAGCCAATTTTGATAGCACAAGAAAAATATTTTGGTTTTCGAGCCAGAAATCTAATGGATTATCAGTTAAACTTGTTTTAACCATTTTCAAACACAAATAATGAGGTAATTCATCCGATTTCGGCGGATTAAATACATAATCTTCACTTTCAGAACTATTAAATTCATCATTGAATTGCTCGCCATCATCGCTATCATCTTCATACTCTTCCAGAATATAACAATTGATTTTTGATTTTTTTCGTGGAGGTTGACAATCTTCTTTTTGTTGCTGCTGTTTATTCATTTATATGATTTCATGCATTCGTTTACGGATGTGTTTATGTACTTGTTCTCGTTCATCTCTTGTACAGCCTTTAAGTTGTCGGTATCGTGGATGCATTAATGTAGCAACATAATGACGAACATCTAATTTAAACATAACATTCAATAATTCTAATATTCTGAGACGAAGAACACGGATTCCTGGTTCGAATAAAAAAGAAATTTAGTTAACAATTTTGTTTCGTAAAAACAACTCTTTACAGTCAATTTTCGTGTGAACTTCAGCTTCATCATTACAATCATACTGGGCATCACCTGCATCATTTGAAAATGATTGAATATGGTATTGAATCAATTGGTCAAAAGATGACAACACTAATCGACGATCTTGTCTCGTTCTTTCCAGATCCTTGTTTCTCTTGGTTTTCAGGCAAGATTCTTTTTCTATTCCTTCTACACAAGATGCTTGCCTGAAGAAACTGACCTTGCCTTTCTGACAAGATTCATGTAGACCGAATCTTGGCTGGCGAGGCAAGAAGTGCCTCTCCAAGCAAGCTTCTTGTGTTCTTGCCTGATTCTTACTTTTCTTGAATTCTTGTCTGATTCTTATATCTCTGACGTCTTGCCTGATTCTTGTCATATTCATAAAGCTTTTATAAGTTATTATTACTACCTTTTCTAACTATTTTATTACAAGATTTCCGTAAAATATACAAAAAAAATTCAAAAAAACATAGTCAATTTCATATGAATATGAGTGAAAAAGAAGAAACTAAGTACATATTGAGATTATCTAATTTAATAACAGCATTGTCCAGCAATAAGCTGAACAAATTATCATAATTTTCTTCGTCCATAAAAAAATATAAATGCTGCAAGATCTATCACGAAGTATATAATTATCAACAAGTGTATCATCATCAAGTGTACCATCAGCATGTGTATCATCATCTAATGTACCACCAGTACCTGTACGATTAGCATTTGTATCATCATAAATATATCATGAACAAGTATATTATCATTAAAAACTGGATCATTAACAGTAACATCACCTTCAAAATTTTCGTTAATTTTGGATAAATATTGATTTGATTCTTTCTAGAAAATAAAAACGAGCAGTGAAAAAAGTTTTACTTTGAAATGAAGCAGTTAAAAGAAATCATTTACAATTTGTTCAGTCAGTAAACGAGGCAAAGATAATTGAGTACAATAGAGTTTATCTTTTTGCTTATTACGCCATCGTAGTTGTTTACGTATATGTAATGATAGTTCTAAAAAAAGGATGACATATGAGTCAAAAAGAAGAAACTAAGTACATATTGAGATTGCCTAGCTTATTAATAGCATTGTCCAGGAAAAATTTGAACAGATTATCAGAATTTTCTTCGTCCAAAAAAATATAAATGCTTCAAGAAGATCTATAAAATGAAATAAAGAGAAAGATATTGATTAGTAGAATATCGAAATACGTTCAATAAAAGTGTAATTCTTTGGAAAAAAATCATTATTGTATATTTCATTGTTATCTCTATATCCAATCGAAACGAAGAGCTATCAGATGCCGTTCGAATAAAATGAACATTCTAGGAATGGTGCATCTCAAAGTGAAATTATACTATAGTTTTCACATCAATAAAATGAACAAATAATATTCCAATGTTTCTTTTATATATTCGAACACACAAAGACATCACTTGCTGGCTTTTCTTGAAAAGCTGACAAGAATCTTTTTCTTCCTATCGAAAAGAATCTTTCCTGAACACCAAGAAATTTAAAATATCTTATATTTCTTTCCAGCTTCTGTTTTTTCATAATTTTCTGACAAGATGCTTCTGATATTGGATAGCAGACAAGATTCTTTCCAAAAGGAAAGAAAAATATATCTTGACTATCTTATGATTCTTGCCTGATTCTTTTATTTTTGATCAATCCGGCAAGATTCTGGTCATCTTGAGCTCCAGGCAAGATTCTTTTTACTTTTCTGTGGAAAAGAATCTTGTCTGAATACAGGAGTCTTGTCTGAAAGTCAAGGAAAACAAGAATCTGAAAAGAAAGAGACAAGATCGTCGATTAGTGAAAATTCTTTTTAACATAAGAGTGCAAACCAATACCATATATAATGATGGAGCATTTGTTAATTGTATAATTTTCCATACGTGCTTGAAAGGTTTCAGTAAACGAATTAACTGCTTCAAGTTTTCTTCATCGATTCCATTCAATTTCGATAGTTGTGTACGAGCATTTAAGACCCGTTTAACTGCTTAATATGAGCGTACTATGCTCTGAAGTAGATCAATCATAGACAGCCATCGGATAACTGTTGACTGTTGCAATGCTACACCGCCAAGACCTTGAATATCTTTATTACAACCACTCTAAAAGAACAAAAAAAAATTAAAAATATTTTTATTTCGAAATGCAATGCTTTCTGTTCCTGATGAAACAATACGCGTAAATATTTTCTTACCTTCTTCACATACTGTACCAACTTTTTACATCGACTAATTGTTTTAATAACGTCCTGTGCTGATGAAGCTATAAAGCATTGAAGTCCAATTTTCTTGGATCATCATCATTTGACTTAACTGTTGATTTATTTTTATTCTTTTTTTTATTTTGGATGGGAAGGGTTGGCTCAAACTTCTCTTCGTCGTCGTCTGTTGATAACGATGAATTATCATTATTTTCTTGATTTTCTTTTGAATCAGCGGCATTCATTAATGTCGATGTGTTAGAGAATTTCGTTTCGTGTACTGTTACAGTTGATTGTTGTTGTTTCTTTAATTCTGTTTGAAAAAATGCTCATTTGAGAATGTTGTTCATTCGATGTGGATAACAAAATATCGTATCATAATGTCTTAATGCTGAAACCAGGTTAGGTCCACGATCAGATATAAAATTCCAGTTGATTGAAATCAATCAAGTCAAGTGGTTCCAAACACTGTCCAATACACTAATGAAAATCAAAGATGAAATACATATTATAAAAGAATCTCAAGTGAAATAGAAGTCTCTTGCTTCTTATGTTTCTCTGCAGAAATATCTGTAAAACAATGCTTCTTGTTTACAAATTAATATCGCTTGATCTTTCATTCCGGAAAGAAAAGAAAATAAGAAGAGAAATAAAACCTTGTCTTTACCGTCTGAATACTTGGATCAGTATGATCATCTTGTAGATAAGGTTCACACCATAAATCGAATATTATATATTTAAAATTCTCATCGACGAATGAGATTGATATTCCCATATATGAAATTTGTTTGTGTGGATCACTCCACGTATCGGGACAGGCACATATACACTTGCTTTCATATGGCTCTTTTAATATATCTTTTAATTTGATACGATAATCATCAACCAGTTTGTATATGTGTTTAGAAGAAACATCAGCACCACGCATGACACTTTTCACGTCAATTGCTCCATAAGCAGCACCTGCATATCAGAAACAAAAGCTTATACAAAAGAAAATGCCATAACGATAAGATTACACTTTCCTAGCACAATAAATTTTTGTAATAAATTTCTAAGACCGGTGTCTTCGACAATAGAAAAAGCTCTCATATCTTGGCATAGCCATTTAGAAACTAAGTCTTTAACTGAATTAATTTCTTTTCCTGGTAACTGAATATGTTTGTAACATTTTATCATTGTTTCTAATTTTGTTTGAATTCCGGTACCAGCTATCCATGACGATGTTTTGTCATTTGATAATTTTTGAATACAACTGTGTGCATTGAGTACTCGAGTACCGAATGCTGATTGAAAGGAATAGGTTTGTAAACATGATTCACAACTAACAAAACCAGGAATAGGTTGAAATTGATGATTTGTTTTAGATTTCTTCGCAGGAAACCCAAAAAGATTCCAACAGATAGAAGATAAATTATTATTTGTATTTTTAACAACTTTATAATTTTATGATTGGTTATTTCAACAACCAAGTTGGAATGCAACGGTAACGATAGCCGTAGGTACGGTTACCGGTCCACTACGGTAACCGTACCTACTACGGTAACCGTACCTACGGTTACCGCACCTACTAAGGTAACCGTACCTACGGTTACCGCACCTACTAAGGTAATCGTACCTACGGTTACCGGTCCACTACGGTAACCGTTCCTACGGTTACCGTACCTACTACGGTAACTGTAGGTACGGTAACTGGTTCAGACCGTTGTCAAGAAAAATAGAATTTTTATAAGAAAATAACGATATTTTATAAAGGTTGACGAAAGTAAATCGGGGTCGGAGAATCCGAATCTGAAATCGGATCCCTGCACCTTTCAACTTTCACTTTCCAAGACTAAGCCGCTTCTTGAAAATCGTGTTTTTTTCTCGAAACACTTATTCCTGATAAACATTATATGTGAAGACTAAAACTGATATTTTCAAAAACTGACGTCAGATTCAGATTCTCCGACCCCGATTTACTTTCGTCAACATTTATAAAATATCTTTATTTTCTTATAAAAACGCTTTTTTACTTGACAACGGTTTGAACCGGTTACCGTACCTACGGTTACCGTAGTGGACCGGTGAAACGGTGACGGTTAACCGGTGATTAATCATCACCGTTGCATCCCTACAACCAACTAATTCGTTCAATTGTAAACTCCTTATTAGATGATGTAGAATTAGGAATATAATTTGATGATAAAGTGATGATAGATGAAGAAACTGTGGTTAAATTTATTGAATCCGATGGATCAGATTGATATTCAATAACAGACGACGATGAATCTTCAGAAGACATTTTACCATTTATTACTAAAATCTGAATCAATTCGCTGTTTTTAAATATTACAATAGACCCAGTTGAATCTTTTGTTTATTTATTCATTTATCCATTGTTATCTATTTTAGTGTGTTCTAATGGTTACAAATTGTAACCATTTACAGAATTGAACAAAATTTTATTTTCGTTAACTTCACTGAAATAGACAAGAACGACATATGTACGAAAAAAATAGTTATACATTTCCTGATAAAAAATGTTTACACCAGTAGCTGTTTGTCCCATGGGATAGATGGGATAATTTCCCAAAAATTCTATCCCATCCCATTTGTCCCATGGGACAGATGAGATGGGATAGTTTCCCAAAAATCCTATCCCATACCATCCCATGGGACATTCATCAAAAACCTTAAGTCTCATCCGTCCCATGGGATGGGATGGGACAGTCTCATCCCTCGCGGAGCCCTGGTCGCTATAACCTGACATAATAAGAAAACTCATCGGTACGTTGAAAATATAGATGCGTAAATTATATGCAATTATCAGAAAAGAAAAAAAAAAGACTTAATTTAATTTATAAAAAACGTTACGTGTAAATTTAGCTGATGGTTCTGTTACATCGATTTTAGTGGTTCTTTTAATTACTTAGTTTAATTTTAATGATTTATCTTTAGAATTTTTAGAATATATTTGTATTAATTAAAAACCTTCATCAAGTAAATCTTTTATTATAAATTGACATAATCATTCTATATACAGTGGATATACAAAGACAAATTAATAAAAGAAAACTTTTTTTTATGAATAATTTATACTTTAACATAAATTGGTCTTAACATATAACGTGTTTGAGTAAAATAACCTGTTAATAATGATCTTTGTGATATATTAGAACGTGTATATGAACTTTTAACAATAATTTCTTTAATGAATCTAGTATTTGTATATGTAAATGTACGCAGGTCATTATATCTAATACATGCCTAAACATATTTTGAAGCATCATATTTTTTATCAGCGTAACTGATAATTAAAAGGATCAATAGGTGGTGATGAAGCAATTAGAAAATCATGAAATTAAAACCAATTTAAAATACATCGTATTATGTAGCTTGGTAAACTTTGAAATATTGATAGTGATTATTTCCAAAAGTTTGTGTAAAAATTTCTGGAATATTAAATCTTGATTTTCCTTTAACCTCTTTCATCATCAACGTGTGTTGGCAATTGTTGTGGTGAAAAATACTGCATCAAAACTAAAATAATGTATACAATCGTGATCAGATTCATAAAGCTATGTTGAAAATAATTGTCCCGTTGTATCAATTGTTTTAATTAAAGATGTTTTTTTTCTGTCATATAACAATGGGTGATATTCAAAGATCGATATTTGCTTTATTTTTCATTCCAGCGTGTGGATGTGTTGCTCATTTTTGATTTTGTTGTATTATAAGGAACATTTTCACTTCTGCATTCAACTCCAAAAATCGAAAAGATTTTTAAGAAAGAGCTTGATTAAGCGTATCTGTCATCAAGCAATATCCTAAAAGTTCGAACAGATCTATTGCTTTATTAATGATGACCTTCATATTACAAGTGAAGAATTTCACGCACAAACTGATCTGAATCATAGCATCGTTCGATGAACTTTCATCGATCATCGTAAACTCAAAAAGATTATTGCTAGCTCATCTTCAACACCTTTTTCAACTTCTACAAGCCTGTTCTAATTTGAAGTTTTCGTTATGATGTAGGATTCTGTGAGAAATTCTTATATTTGGAAATCATATCACTTAAGGTATATACCTTTGCTACACTACGAATAGTAGAAATAGAAAACTTACGGGACTCCTAACAACAAACTAAGTACTGATCTTGCTAATTGATAAATCCTTCTTTGATGAGATACATATTCACTCTGTTATTGAGAATGCAATTACCTTATTTTTACTCTTGCTATAAGCATCAATGTTGTCGTTTTGTATTACGATGATCTCGAGAACAGAAAATCAAAAAATACTCATTCAAAATAATTACAATGAAGAAAACAAGAAAATTTACTTGCTACTCTTTTTGCTTATAGCTAAGAGAATTCTTACATACAGCTGATGCTAGACAATCAATCAGAAAGAGAATTAAATAATCATTTAATAGTATTCATGAGAAATATGTTGATAACCGTTGATACACTACATACAACATGTAAACAAAGAAAAAAGGTTGTGCTGTGGTGTATTAATGAATTATTCATTGTTCAAATTTTAGCTCAAAATGGTAATGGAAAACTCAGAGATATATGATCCGTTGAAAGTTTATGGGAAGTATTTTATAGAGAAAAAAATACGAGACAAGCAATTTCCTATTTTTTATTCAGTAAGAGCTTCATGGCATAAAAATTAGAGAAAAAGAACGTTTAATGATTGTAAAAATAAATGATCGAAGAAATTCTCAAAAAACTTGTACAAGTAATGAAGAGTAGTGAAGAATAAACATATTATAATTAAAAGAGATGTTTCTGTATTGTCAAATTAATGTGTATCTCGGTCAGGTCGTGTTTCTTTTTCTTAATAATTTTTTGCATCAATTTCGAATAATTGATCATTATACAGGAGTTTTCGAATATGAAAATGATTGTTAGTGTCCCATGAATAGAATCTCTGAAACGTAGAAATCCAAGTTTTACTAGCTTTTAAAATTTGAAAGTAGAATTCTATTTAAATTATCTAAAATAATAGAACAAACAATTACGTACAAAATGTTATCTCTTACTACTCTCTACAATGTTTTTTGATCAAGAAACATCAATCCTACACACGACGCAAAAGTAGTTTTTCTGTTTTCCATAGAAAAACCATTTTTGTACCCTATGTAGATTTGATATATCTCGGATATAAGTGTGGGTATGAGCCAACAAACGACCCACACTTACACTCTTCCCCTTAGTGTATGTTTTTTGAAAAAAGACAGTGCCAAGGGTGAGTGTACGAAAAAAATTCAGTAATTCATTTTTTTTACTAGTATCTTACTAAATATTAGGAAGTTGGACAATATCACAACGTTAGGTAGGTTAACAAATTTTGTTTGCAGATTCTTTTGTACATAAGTCGCTATTGAACTGCAGCCTGTTTATTTTACAGTAGACAAGAACTTTGTTGAGCAGCTGTTAGCTTTTTCAGAATTGAGACAATCGTATTGTTTGTTAAAAAGTAACCAAGATTCGATCCTGTGATATAAAGATTCTATTTGTCATGAAATTTGAAAAGAGAAGTGTTGCGAAGGGGACCATCATAAGCAGAACACACTTTCTGGACTTATTCAAGATAGTATGAGTTCGTTTTTTTGCTTGTTTTTGCTCGAGAAAACCTCTTGAAGGCGGGAGATCGTCGGTTCGCCGTCCTCCTAAAATTTATCATAGTTCTAAATAGTTTTAAGGAAAAATTAGAGGATTTTACTAGTAAACCATTCTCCCTTTTTCTGAATCTCTCCTAAATTGTCTTTATTTTGCTACCTATGTCCTTATCTTGTAGAGTAGAGTAACTTTTACACATCTCTCGTAGAAGATATCAAACGATAATTATTTTCTCTTCATTTTAAGAATACTGTTCTAGTGAATGGCATGCATGAATTATAATACGTCCTTTAAATAACTCTCTTCTGTAACATAAAAATTCTGAATTATTTTATAATTCATTTGTGTCATAAGCTTCATTGTTCACAAATTCAAATGTAAACATTTGAAAAAAAACCATGTATTATTCAAAGATTCAAAGACTATAAGTAATAAATATCTAAACGATTATTGAATAATGAAAAAGTACTAAATGATACAGCTAATAAGTTCCGCCAAACAAATAATCTAATAAAATTAAGTCAACTTTTATGAATAGAGTAAAGTTTCTTTTTATTTAATAAGGCGTGGCGTTTCCACGACTTCCATGAGTTGAAACAACAATGAATTTTCGCTACGGGCAATTACATCGTTTCGAAACTTGATTTTTTTAAAATTGTTTTGCTCTTCAATTCAATTCTTTATATAACGAACAAAATTCAAAGAAAAAAAAACTAAATTGTTTTTTCTTGAAAATGATGTGTCCACAGACAACTGACAAAAAAACAAGGATTCAGCAAAAACGTTTTTTTAACTTAATGTATTTAAGTTTACTATGCTTTTATGTATGAATAAACTGTAAATAAACATGTTATTGAAGTTGTCTCCGATTACTAAGCTATTACTTTTGTCCTTTAAAAAAATTCTTTTTTATCTTAGATATGGTATGATCTTCTTTCGATGACCTGTTTGTGGTATATATGGTACGACTATCTCCAGAAATATATCACTGCTGTATACATGGCGTGATATTGTATGAGTACACGCGTAAGTATATATATATATATATATATCTGTCCTCAATTTTTTTCTGTTCTTTCAATTTTTACCTTTACTTTCTTTTTTTCGTATTCTCCTTACTGCTTGCACGTTCTGATTTTTTTTTTCAAAACAAATTATCAAATTGCACGTTAACAAGATGAAAATTTTCTATTTTCAATAACACACCATTTAGTTGCAATAAAATATTGGTTAAAAAGTTAAGTAAAGAGTGAATCTATCGTTGTACTAGCTCATGAATCGATGGCTCACTTGTATAAATAAGACATCAATTTTTTTTATCTTGGTATTTTTAAATTTTAATAGTCCGCTTTTGTTTATATATTTGCATTTCAATACACATGTTCTACCTAATACGTAGAAAGAACAACCAAAAGTCGTATATAAATATTGACGACAATAACCGAATAGTAATTGTCATGATCGTGCGTCATTCAATCATTCGTACTTGCTATCAATAACAAAAATACATACTCATTTTTGTGTTGTATTATTCATTTCAAATAAATCATTCGTTTATTTCATTACAATGAAAATAGACATACATTTCGTAGTTTCATATTTCATTTTCTTCATTGTAGAACAGCAAAATATAATTATTTCTGCATAATTTTCTATCGTATTTTCTTCT